ATCTACGCTGGCGGCTTCTTGCGCAAGAACTCTTTTGTGAAAGAGTTCTTGTGCAAAAAATCTTCCACAAGAGCACATCCACACTGTCACGTGCTTTTGCGCAAGAGATGTACTTTTGCGCAAGAGCATCCATGGCAGTGTAGACGCTGTCTTGTGCAAGAAAGCTCTGATGGCCATTTTAACCAAAGGGGCTTTTTGTGCAAGAAATTAATGTTGCCTGTCTACACTGTCCTCTTGTGGAAGAGCTCTTGCGGAAGAGGGCTTATTCCTCGTGGGGAGCGGAATAACTCTTCCGGAAGAAGCCCTGTTTTACAACACTGTACTGTAAATTTACTTGCGCAAGAACGCTCATGCAGTGTAGACAGCAGGCAAGTTTTTGCACAAGAATAACTGTTCTTGCGCAAGAAGCTGCCAGTGTAGACATAGCCTAAGGGTACATCCACACAGCAGTGTTATTTCAGAATAACTGATGTTATTCTGAAATAACATCGTGTATGTCTACACTACAAGCCTTTATTCGAAATAATATCGAACTGGAGGACTTCTTAACCCATACTCATGGTAACCCTTAACCCATACTCATGGTAACCCTTAACCCATACTCATGGTAACCCTTAACCCATACTCATGGTAACCCTTAACCCATACTCATGGTAACCCTTAACCCATACTCATGGTAACCCTTAACCCATACTCATGGTAACCCTTAACCCATACTCATGGTAACCCTTAACCCATACTCATGGTAACCCTTAACCCATACTCATGGTAACCCTTAACCCATACTCATGGTAACCCTTAACCCATACTCATGGTAACCCTTAACCCATACTCATGGTAACCCTTAACCCATACTCATGGTAACCCTTAACCCATACTCATGGTAACCCTTAACCCATACTCATGGTAACCCTTAACCCATACTCATGGTAACCCTTAACCCATACTCATGGTAACCCTTAACCCATACTCATGGTAACCCTTAACCCATACTCATGGTAACCCTTAACCCATACTCATGGTAACCCTTAACCCATACTCATGGTAACCCTTAACCCATACTCATGGTAACCCTTAACCCATACTCATGGTAACCCTTAACCCATACTCATGGTAACCCTTAACCCATACTCATGGTAACCCTTAACCCATACTCATGGTAACCCTTAACCCATACTCATGGTAACCCTTAACCCATACTCATGGTAACCCTTAACCCATACTCATGGTAACCCTTAACCCATACTCATGGTAACCCTTAACCCATACTCATGGTAACCCTTAACCCATACTCATGGTAACCCTCATTTCATGAG